GGAACTAAGGAAAATAGCTAACAGGGCACTATGTGCCCACTGATTTTGTGGCACCCCATTGATTCTGTTCCACAGATGGGACTGATTGCTTGAGCAATTAAGGCTTCTGAGAGCAGCCAGAAACAAGCAGAGATGTTCAGCAGAGGCAGGAGCTCTTTCAGTCTGTTGCAAACTGTCTGGGGGCTTCTTTGAGGGATTGCTAAGACTCCATGGCATAAGCTGTGGGTTCCACTTGGACTATGGAATCAATCAGAGGGGCTGCTTGCAGAACCAAATCACCAGGCACCTAGGACCCCACTGGATACCACAGAAAGCCAAACAAAGTCTAGCTCCACTGCAGAGGATCCAAATGATTCTCAGTGCTAGAGCTAATCAAGTTGTATTAGCATAAACCAACACAACACTCCTGAAATCCAGCAGTAAAACACTGCTTCTTCCCATTGCTCTAGCAATGCGCTAGTTGGCTTGTGTGGACATTGGTTCATACAAACGCGATGTCATTAGCACTAGTGCTATGGCACAGTTGGATTCTACCCATAGTATTTAACCATGGCCCACGTATTTAATCATGGTAATCTGGCAGGGTGATGAGGGTAGTTTCTAAAAGTAGAGCAAATCATTACCTGATTCTTAACTGAAAAGAAATGCAAGGAATAAAAAGGGGAAACAGTGAAATGATCAGGCTTATGAATATCCATAATTATACGTGATATGGAATCCTTTGCTTTGTGAGAATGTTCCTTAATGGAACAATGATAAAAACTAAAGGCTTCTCTTTCCATATTAACTTTTGCTGCACGTGTCTGTTTGTGTGGCAAGTTGGCTGTCATGCAATCAGTTTTTTCATACAACGCTCTGAGGTGTGAAGTTGAACACCATTCCGTAAGTGGAAGGTTTCTTCTGCCTAAGGATCCAGGTTGGTGCATCTTGAAATTCTGAGTGCTGGAAGCTAACTTGAGCGAGGTTTGTAAATTCAGGGCTAACCTAAAAGTAATTGATGCCAAAATGTATGCTGGAAGTCCTCATTGGCCAGTCTCTAAGTCTGGATTTCTTGGATCAAACAGGTGGCCTACAAGAGTTCTTCCAACTCTGTGCAGTGAGTGGCTTTGATTTGCATGGCACATGGAAAACATATGCAAGTCATTAATTTTTCTTTATCAATATCTAAAAATTTGTGTTGTATCTGTGAGAGTCTATAGATGCCTTCGTGAAGTTCTAACATGGTTTAGGTAAGGCCAATAACAGACTAATCGAGGACTGATTTCCTTACTTATCTGGATCCATTAATTTGAAAGGAAATTCTGTTTTAGAGATTTTTTGCCATATAAAAATATTTTATATTGAAAATAATGTGTAGTTATCATTCCAGTGATTGATAGTGTATTACAAAATAAACCACATATGTACAATATATGATACTGATTAAAAAAAACATAAATGCATTGGCACATTACATTCACACTGTTTCCAAAAAGTGGTCGTGTGCTAAATGGGAGCATCCAAGGAACACTTTGCTCTAATTTGCTCAAAATATTCTTCTTGGTATGTTTGCTTTCACTGGAGAATTATATACAGGGTGGGCCAAAAGTAGGTAGACAGTGCTAACTGGGTCACAAAGAACCTCACACAGGGGACAAATTGAAGGAGATCATCTCACAGGCATTTATCAACATTGGTGCTCACTGGAGTTTGTGCCGCAGTGTTGGGGACAGGAATGTTGCAACATCGAGGGAGGACATTTTGAGCACCTAAGAGACTAAACTTGACCCAGTCAATCCTGCACACCTACTTCTGGCCCACCCCATATAAATAGGCATCTAACTAGATATTGCATGTGGCATTGATGGTGGAAAATACTGTGCCCTCTTCTCTCTTGGCCATGACATTTTGAGAATCTCTAACATTTTAAATTGCCGGAGTTCTTAAGTGTTCCTCCAGTCTAAAAGTACTCATGCCTACTTTTGGTAACCTGTATATATAATATAATTATATTTTACAAATATTGTATATCTATAAATAAACCTTAGATAGACATATGTATATTTATTAGAAAATGCCTACCTACGTTACTAGCATGAACAATTCAGCTGGATGAATTTTACAGACCTGCTTTTTATTTTTATTTTGAATATCTCTGGATAGGCAACCTGATAACAGAAATTGCACAAAAGGCACTGGATAGGAATTTTTGGACACCATTGCACATTGCAGAATCTATAAGTACACTTTGAGGACAGGGAATCATCCAGCAGCTCCTGTTTGTGGCAAAGTGGAGCATAATCCTTCTACAATTTTTGACTCTAAAAGATGCTCCACAAATCATTAATACCAACAGTTTACACCAGTGAAATGTGTGTGGACTTAGACCATGCCATTTTATATAACAATATCAAATATTAAAATAGTGGAACCATTTTATAATAAACAGCATTTTTTTCTTGATTGCAGCTGATTATGTTATGCAGCTTGTACGGCTGGTGTCACAAAAGGTGACTTAATAGCTCCGATAACTCATCTCAGCAGCTAACCTTTCCCCCTCACTGATGAAGCCTATTCAAAACCTGGTGGCCTTTTGCTCCTTTCAGGATCTTCTCTTTCTCAACTGTTTTGATCATGAATATATTTATCAAAGTTTTTTTAAGTCCATGAAGACTTCAGTGATCTTTTTAAAAGATGTTATTTAAATAAAGTACAAAAGAAGCAGTCTTTCAATCTCCCCATTTGTTATATTTGTGAGTTTTTGCTTACCTGATGCCAGCATGTCGTTAATTAATACGAGGAAACGCTCATCAGGGATCTGAGCATCTGTGTGAAGAAACACTGTGCCGATGTTCTTCACGCCAACTTTAAAGTAAAGTGTGGCAATATCGCTCTGTAGAAGAAAGTGAGGTTTAGATCATTACCACAATATGCATACAGAACAAATATTGTCAAGCGAAGCAACCTCATGAAAGGAACGTTTAAAGATCCAACTTCTAAAATTCAAATTATCTGGAGAGGAAATTGTGTATTTGCACAATACAGCAACCTGAGTTGTTCCACTGGCTCACTTCTCCGGGTGGGGGGCACATGGCGAAATGGGAGCATGTGCTCCTTTGAGCCTGGTTTCCTTTGGAATGAGAAATCACTGGCCGTGGATTATGCAGGCCGGTCATTTACACATCAACAGAAAGTGGGAAATGCATCCTAAAAAAGAGGGCAAACCAGGGCATCCATTTGCATGGCTTTTTCAAATTTAGAAATGATGACTATACTTCGAATAGAAATCGAATGCATCCAGCCATAATGAGGGAGATGGAGCAGATGATGCGTTTGGCTGCCCGGTCGGCTGTCCAGGTGCTGGTTCTGGATAGGCATCATCATAAAACTCTTCCTGTTTTATGGTTCTTTCTATGTAAGCTAAACTTGGACTGGGCAGCCCTTTGGATAAAGGGCTCTCCTCTGCCTAGTAGCCTACCATAGTTTTTGTGGTATACGGATTTATTTACAAATCTATAAGTAGAGCCTAGGGGACGGAAAGCAGCACAGCACTTCAACAAATGGCAAATGCACAAACCCTCATCAGATTCTGAGAGAGAGAGAGAGAGAGAGCAAAAATTGCTTTCCAAAGCACAAACTCCCCTTCTCTTTGTGATTTTATTTCAGAGGGCAGTCTGTCCTTCTCACTGTCCCCAGATCTGTTTTTGTTGTTTCTCCTATGAAGACACTTAGATTACCTTTTCATCAGCAGGGCAGGTGAGGTCTCCCACCCGTGCCGTTCAGCACCCCAAGCAGGCCTGCCCACTGCATTAGAAGCAGGTATCGCTGCCATGCTAGAAGAGTGGGAAGCATGTTCCTCCAGGGTCCTTCGATGCCTGGTGCAATAAGCCTTCCCACTTGGCCTGGGCAGGGCAAAGACAGCAATGGCAAGGCCCTGCAGACTGCTAGCAACAGCAAGGGCTGCTTGTGTCCAGAGCGAGGACAGCTGGCAGCAAGCTGAAGGCTATCAATTAGTTGAAAATGTTCATGTAAGCCAGCCACTTATATTAAGAAAATCTAGGTTAAACCGCTGCTCACACACACACATCTAAAGCACACACACTTAGCTCCATCAACATTCATGGAACTTAATTCCAAGAGTAAGGATCTGGCTGCATCTACAGTAGATAGTTCTCGATCTTGTCTTACACAGAACATTTATTGTGTTTCAATATTTCGCTTGTGGTTGTTAATGGTTATTTACAGGATGATTCTCCAGTTTTATTTCTGTGAGAGCACTTTGCACAGGGTTGGAGAGGAGGGAAAATGGAGGATTATTCATAAAGGGAAAGAAAACATATTGTCCTGCTTGTGCCATTATGTTATTTTGCCACAGCACAGCTAGATGTTATACAGCAGAAAGGTAGGAAAGGCAAAGCTCTTTGTGCAGAGGTTAGAGTTCAGTTCTGTGATGGAAACTGAAAGTAGATAGAGTGGGTTAACAACCTAGTCCAAAGACCAGATAACTCGGAATTCTAATTTTATTGTTCTCTATGATGTTAACACAGTATATACTTTAACAGGCTAGTTCTTTGGTTTTACACATTAACTAAAGCGGTGTCACATATCATTTTGTTTTAGTTTAATTACCAAGATGATGCATTAAAACTGGTATTTATCAACAGAGGTTTTAGGATAGAAGGAGCCATATTTATGCTAAACACTGGATGATATCCTAAAGAAAAGATCAAATTAAAAATGGAACTGAGCAGTTTGAACAGTCTCTTTTACTGAGTGGTTTTAAGAAAAGACTGGGGAGACTTTAAGTATGGGACTTTCTGGCCTAGATGGGAAACATGACATTTAGGTTCTTTCCATTCTATTTAATCTCGTGAATACAATGAGCAAACCTTGAATCATTGGGTTGATCTTGGGGAGCAGTGCCAGCTTCAGGCTTAGGGTGCTCTTGGATGACATCTGCAATGCTCCCCACCCCATGAATCTGTCTTCTTTTATTTATTTATTTGACTGTTATCCTGTCCCATTAACCATAAAGCTCTCTGGGCAGGTCACAATCTTCCCACCATCATTGCCTGCTCCTTCTACTGCTCTTCCTCACTGTTGAGTAACTGTTCAGCAGGTAGAGAATCAGCTCAGCTTACACCAAAGCAGCCGAGGATCTGGACAAAAGTCAACCATTTTATGGGTTCAGATGGAGCACGAGGGCAGTCTTCGCCTTCCACAACCTGCCCCCCCCCTGCCCCCCATGTTCTGGAGTATTGCTCTCAGCGTTCTCAACCATTGGCCATGCTGGATGAGGGGGGTGGAATTTGTTCTCCACCACATTTGTGGTGGTGTCCGTTTGAGGAAGGCTGCATGATGGGCTCTCTGTCTTTGGCCACATGCAGTGATGGTGCTACTGCATAGACCATGTATTCCTTTCTAGGGACAAGGGAGAAGTCCAGCCAGGAGAGGAAATTCACTGGCTATTTTGAACTCAGTGCAATCTGATGTGCATTGAGCAGAAAGTGTACTTCTGTTTTTAAAGCATGCCACCATTTTCCTTTTTTAAAGCAGGGAATTTGGACAAAATTCAGGCCTCTGCTCTACAAATGCATGTATTTGTGAAAACTGTTTCTATTTGTGCAGAATCAGGAACAAAGGCCTGAAATTTGCACTATTCTTGAATTAACTGCCTGAAAATTGAAGATGGCCAAGGTGGAGAGAGTGTGTGTGTGTGTGTGTGTGTGCGCAGTGATAGGAGAATACTTCCAAACTTTCATGTTAAATACTACAACAGGAGCCATGGATGTTCAGTCCTGATTAGTGCAATCTGTACTGAAGATATGCAGTTTCTGGCTCCAAATTTGCACAAATATGTCCAAGAATTTTGAGGAAACTGAACTACAGCCAACTTGGGCCAGAAATGTGTTGCAAATCTGTCAAACATAAATGGAACAAATTTATCAAATTTATCATTATTGCACAACTCCAGTTCATTCCATGGTCCAAGGGGAGTTCTGGATAAGAAAACTATGCTGCATGTTACCCACAGAACAGTGTATGTGTTTGTGGGGAAGGAGAGAATAATTTTAAATATATATATATTTATGAATACTTCAAATTGTCCATTGGAGAGGATTTTATGGAATGACACCAGAAGAACCTGGTGTCATTCCATAAAACTCCTTGGCTGGAGGTATATGATAAATAAAAGGAAGTACTTCTTTATGCAATGTATAATCTGTGGGATTCACTGCCAGGGGAAGTGGTGATGGCCACCAATCTGGATGCATTTAAAAGGAGATCGGATGGATTCAAGAGGGAGGAGGCTATCAGTGGCTACTAGATTTGCTGGCCATGTGCTACCTCCTTGACCAGAGGTGGCCTGCCTGCATACACCAGTTGCTGAGGAGCTTGGGCAGGTGGAAGTCTTGTACCCATCCTGCTTGAGGGATGCTGTGGACAGTTGTTTTGCTGCCATATGTACAGAGAGCTGGACTAGATGGACTTTCGATCTGATCCAGCATGGCTTTTCTTATGATCCTATGAGAAAAATAGATGTGATTTAAAACCAGACTGTGTAGTAGTGGATCTAGGATGAGTAAATTACACTTTTGTTAATGTGGAAGCATAACAAAGTTGCTTCAGTTTCACAAAATGTAAAAGGTTTTATTAACAAAATTTACCTAATATGTAGAAGCTGAGAATTATTTCACTATGCCAGAACAAATTCTTACTGAAAAGTAAAGGTTTGTAACACAAATATGCTCCTAATAAAATATATAGTTTCATATTTTAAATACTGTTTTTAGTGGAAAAGTGGGACATAAACTGAATAAAAATGAATTTGCTAGCTCTTGTTCTCTTATTGTTCCACAGCTATTATTTTAATTTCTCAAATGGAAATACTGAAAGTGATGCAGAAAAAAATGCCTCACGCTTTAAATACAGGAAGCCTGGAAAATAGAAATAGAAGAAAGCAAGCCAAAAAGATTGAATTAATTGTATATGTGTGTGTACATGCATGTGTGCATGCATGAGTACAAGCACGCACACACACACAAATAATCTGGTACTGAAACAAGTTCAAGGATGGAGCTACCTGAACATGTATATTACTGTTATTCTAAAAATTCAACAGCTGGTTCATCACAACCTCCCGATGGAAGACATGCATTGGCAAATCCGTACTGAACACAGGACCGGAATTTTAGTTCTGGATCACATTTAATGGCAGTCCAGGTTTTAGAGGTTGGGAAGGCTTTTGAGTTTGATTGGGATTCTCAGACTGAGTTTAGGAGAAGGTGGTCACTTATGCATTGCCAAAGAAGAGCAAATGCATACCAGGGAGATTACATAAAATCTCTTAACATAGTAATTTATATGTATAGATGCAAACTTAGGCATGTGTATTCTGTTTTAAGCAAGCATACAATCCATCTCCCCATAGTGGAGAAGACTGTGGACCAAGTGTCCTCCGCATTCACTCAGGCTGCAGTCTAAGGTCCTTCCAAAGCTCCCCCTTCCTATGTCCTGCTGGACTTGGCCTAGACAGCCCTTCAAAAAGAATATGTCTTCAGATGAAAGACTGTTCTCTGTAAAGTAAGGCACAGAGCCACATTACATTAGAGTTGCCTCCAACGTTCAGTTCAACCCAAGTTGCTAATGTTCTTGCTAGATCTATGCAACAGCATGGAGGAGTGGGGATGCCTGTACTACTCCATAGACCAGTGGTAGTGAACCTATATGGCATGTGTGCCACAGCGGGCACGCGAGCCAAGTCGCCCCAGCATCGCCCCAGCAGCCAAGCATCGGATAACAGTGCACATAGGGGCCATGCGCATGCTCAGAAAGGAGTAGCAGCACCAGGCGATGACATCGCAAGCCACGACTCATTAGCCGCGACTTGTCTGAGCTTTCGCATCGCCAGTCAGTGTGCTGCCAAGGAGATATATACATATATATTGCTTGGACTGGCTGTGAGGTGTTTTTTCTAAACTAAAACCTCAGTTTTCAGGTTTTATTGTAGTGTTGGCACTTTGTGATAAATAAGTGGGTTTTGGGTTGCAGTCTGGGCACTCGGTCTCTCAAAGGTTCTCCATCATTGCCATAGACTAATCCTGATTCCTGATCTGTAGAATCAGTGCTAAATATAAGCAGGGCTAGAAACAACAACAAGTCTGTGTTGACTTAGCTGAAGCTGTGCCATAGGTTACATCTGATGCTGTGCTAGCAGAAATAAATACCCTGGTAGCCTGAGTCTTTCCTCCTGCTCTCTTTCCCCCAGCTATCCTTTGAGTTGCCAGAAAATCTGTTCTAAACTGTTTCCTGACCAGAAAAGACATTCCTCCAAAGATCTTAATAAGCATGATGCAGATTCAAAGGAAGATGTAAACCACAGGAATATCTTTATTCCTGTGGGATTCAGCTTCAAGATTAGGATACATCTGATGAACAACACAGAATCTCAAGGCTTACCCTGAGATCATGAATAGCATAACTTTTCCGAAGTGCTATTTGGAAGACTTCCAGTGAGCTGAGAAAGGCAGCTAAGCGGCACAAACTTTGCTTTCCACTTCCTCCAACTCCAATCAAAAGGACATTTCCATATGGGGCCTCAAGAATACGATTGATGCGACAGCTGTAGGGCAGAAACAGGTTACATTAGGGCAAAAACTTTTAACACTGACTTTCTAACCTGTATTTATATGATAGCAAAGTAAGGCTACAGTCCTAGGACTGCTGAAGCTTTTTCAGCCCAGGGGCTTAATTCCGTTCCAAAAAATTTCTCAGGACTGCATTTCAGTGGTTGGGTGGACTGAAGGCAAAAGTGGGGGCAGAGAGACCAAAAAGACCAATTCCTCGTAGTTTAAAGTTCTTACTGTCAGTAACCAAGCATAAGAGAGGTACTTCAAAATTATAGAATGGAAGATAAAGAAACTGCACAAAAGCTGAGAAATCACCATATGATTGGCACTTGGGAAAAAGTAGGTGGGGCCCAAGGACCAGATCTGGCCTGTGGGTCTAAAGTTCTGCATTTCTGCTATACAGCAGGGTAAACTGAACATAGTAGGACTTACCTTCAAGTAACCATACATAAGATTTTGTTGTAATACCTGAAGTGTTTTAGTCTGGTAATTGATTAATAAATTAGGTTTTAATAAATCTATAAGATATCAAAGGATCAATACAGGTACCTTTCCGAGGCTATTGAAGGAAGGCCATTTTTCTTAAATTACAATGTTGAACATTTTATATTTAAATGTGGGGTGAAAAGGTCACCAAATGTGGTATAGTGTGGAGAAAACCTATCCATCTGTGCAGTCTGCAAAGCAATTTGCCCTTCAATGACCCTCCATCAATTAATGGAGGGAAAAATCTAACCTGCTATTAAAGCTTTCACTAATTAATCTACCTATTAAATTAATTAAAAGTTGGTAGCTCTACAATCAACCTCTGTAGAACCACAGACTACGGAGATACAAGTTGTGATTTTCAAGAACTTTTTTAATTTTGAACTTGTTGCTACTTTGAATTTGATGATTTGGAGTACGTCCCTCTCTATCCATTTTAAAATGCACAGGCAGTTTACATCAAAATGATCATCTCTTTGAAATCATGGCTAAAATATTGCTGTATAGTAGCTTCTCCCCACAAAGATAGCAGAGATACTCTTAACTATGTGGGGTACACAGTCTCAAGTTCCAGAGCCCTCCCTGTAGCCGAACTATACACTTTACTCAAGCATTTCTTCAAACACAGAGAAGTAACTGTACGGGTCGAATGTAAACTAGTCTTGCGAACAAGCATTGGGTTTGCCACGCACTGTTGTCTGCATTGCTGAGACTGGGCCATCACGAGAAAATAGCCCAGAAAGACAGCTTCAGGTGACATCATCAGGTAGCTCTGCCATATGAACTGTGATCCAAGATCTGCAGGAAAACCCTGAAGAGTCATAATTTGTGGATTTGAGAATAGTTGAGTTGAAGAACTGAGCAACTCTTAAACCATATGCGAAGTGTTTTCTTTCCTGCTTTCCCACAACATAACCTGTAGATGATGCTATGGTACAGCACAATTGCACAAGTGGGGAAAACATTCTCCTTTGCTTCACAAGAACACATTTTGCTTGCTCTATTTTTATCCATCTATTTATTTTGTGGAAAGTACTGTGTAAAAGCAGAAGTGAAATTGTAGGGTCATGTCATTGTCTAAACAATCTGGTAAACAACCATGAGTAAGGAATGAGGAGTGCACAATCAGTGCCGCATATGGAATAGCTCTGCTATTGGTTCCAAACTTTTAAAATTGAATTTTCATTGTCTTATTAGTATATGCGTTACATTGTATGCTATATGTTTTACATTGTAAGTCATTTTGAAAAGAGGTTAAAAAGCAGAATATGCACTTAGTAAATAAATTATAATGATGTGCAATGGCCCTTGGACAACAAGGAGGAGGACCATAAGAAATCCTGAAAGAAAGTACCCTGTATCTGTAGTTCTCTCCCCTTACAGCCACTTGTGGCATAAACCAAACCGGGTTGAAAAGAACAGCTGCAGCAAATGTACAAGAATTATTCTGATACTGTTGCCCTCGTACGCATCTATGATCCAGAAACACTCAGAGTGCAGTCTGATCACTCCTTCTCAGGACGGGTATCTAGAACAACATAATGGACAGGAGAGGGCAGCCACAATGACCGAGAGGTTGGAGCAACATCCTTATGAGGAGAGGTGTGTTTCAGTTTAGGAAAGAGTGTCTAAGGGGAATGAAGTAGAGATTTAGAAAAGTATGCTCGGTGCTGATAAACCAGGCATTTTGACTCTTGTACTACTCAAAGGATCCAGTGATTGTGGATTGGCAGGTGATTCAGATTACGAATATGAAGTTTATGGAATTCCCTGCCCGATGGTGTAGTGATGGCCACCAGGTTAAATGCCTTCAGAAGGTAAACAGACAGGATGAATGCGTAAATGACTGTTTCTCATAATGCCTGTTTGCAACTGCAGCTTCAAAGGCAGCAGTCCAAGGTCGTAGAGTAGTATCTCCTCTATCAACTTGCTGTAGAACAGCCCACCCCGACCTCATGCCCTCCATATGTGTTGAACTGCAACTGCCATGATCCTCAGCCCCTGTCTAGCCTGTCTGAGAATCATGGGCATTGTAGTCTAACACACCCAGAAGGCTGCTGCAGAAGAACAGCAGGGGAAATCTGCTGCCGTCACATCTTGCTTTGGATTTCCCGGAGCATCTAGTTGGCTCCTGTGAGGATCAGGCTGCTGGATCGGATGGAGCTTTGCCTGATCCTGATTGGCCACGTAGCATCTATATTACATTCCTTCTTGTCCAGAGCCGATTATTTATGCTGGCCACAATTACCACTTCATTGTCAATATGGATCCTTTTACTACGTAGTCACAAGTATACAAGTGTCTGTAGGTCAGGACCTCTCTCAAACATGATTACCACTTTTTACCATCAGCACACAGAGCAGTAGGATGTGATCAGCACTGGGTTAATACTTCTGTGGAGTGACGTTTTGTGCACAGGACTCTGATTCCAGTGGAATAAGATTCTTTTGTTGATGAGAGTATTCTCTGCTGGGACTGCCGCTTCCTCCAGAACTTATCCCAGCTCAGACTACCTAACATCTGGCCTCAGGCTGAGCTCAGCCTCTACACGCATGACTTCCTGCCAGAGTAATTAAGTACATTTTTCTTGATTAACAAAAAAACAAAACAAGATGAAAAATTAATTTGCTTTCTATTTCAGATCCCAGTGGAGGAGCCTTTATCAACTCTCTGGGAAACAATCAAACCACTGCCATGCAGATTGGGTATACTCAGATTGGGCAGAGTATAAGCCAGCATAGTGGCTCTCTTCAGACAATGTAGCCCCTGAAAACCCAGATTTTTTAAATTTGCTAAAACTGATACTTTTTATGGACTTATTAGATGGCACCACAGTGTTGCATGGAAAAAAGCCACACAATCTCAGGGCATGAATTCAGCCTGCAGAGGCACAGCTCTTTGCCTTTCTCCCCACCGTTTTGCCCCTGGAGGGGGCACAGGCTGGCATGCCAACAATTACCCATAGGAGAAGCCACCAGAATACTTCCAGCCTTCCCTCTCCAACAGAGCTGGCCCAAGAATTCTTGATGCTGGAAGTCGCCACTCCCGTTCTGTGCTGCCAGACCAAATGGACTGGGCACAAATCTGTGTTCGGCGCCGGCGATGCGCCAGCATCCTCCATCCCCTGTGAAGCCAGCAAACCAGCTTAGAACAGGGCAGAGTGGCCACACGGCTCTGCTCCACACACACGCCTTGCAGCTTGGCGTGCTTTGTGCAAGAGTAATTCACTGCAAAGAAGGGGCCATCCAGTGTTCCCATGTATTTGCAGACTTGATCTCAGCTAGGCCTGCTTCCTAGGTCAGGGGCAAGTGTGGGAAAGAGGTCCAGCAAGCACAGGAGGGCCAGTTTCTGGCTGGATCTTCGCATCCCTACTGCCAAGTCCTAGTCAGACACTCTAACCCCTGTGCCACACAGCTGTTTGAGGGGGTAGGGGTCAAGAATGCTGAGTGAACTTCCTGATTATTGTGGATATGGCTATGAGGACTGCCACAATGACTGCCTGTACTTTATAGTTTACCATGACACCACTGGAAAGAGTTAACACTAAAATTCCCATAGGAATGGGATATGGAAGAGGAAGAAATGAATCTAGTGGGTTTCTGATTTAAACAAGGAGATTTAGACCATTTAAATGTGTCGGTGTTTTTTCTAATCCTCCCAGTTTCGGGAAAGATGAAAAACTGCTGACCAGAAATGCTGAGGACCCAAGAGAGGGCAAAAAGAGGAGCAGGCACATTTTCATTCCTGAGAGATTTTTAAAACATTCTTTTTCTCCTGTCAGACATGCATCAGGAAGGGAAAAATATTTGAAAGCTATGTAATAGTCTATAAAAATTAATCTTAAAATATCCTTACAGGTTATGCCCTTCAATTCTCCTGGGCTTAACTGTGAATTTGACAGCAGCGGCAGTGTACCCATTGGTCAAGAGCCAGTGGGTTATGGCAGCTGCTGCCTTCCGGAAATCTTTAAAGAACACAGAGATGGAAAGGCTTTTAAACCGAACCTGTGCGGCAAGCTTCTGCCTTAGACCTGGTCAGTGATGCAACACCCAGTGCCCTTTTCAAATCCTTTCCAGGAGGCCATTTCTCAGGTCATTTGGAAATGCATTTGCACTTCAACAATGATTCGCACAGAAGCCTCTCTCACAAATGCCCCCAGATGGGAGAACTTACATGTGCTGGATGGCCTCCTCAAAGAGGACGAGGTTCATTGACGCATGCAGTTCATTGTAGTGCTCTAATGCCTCTGTTAAAATTCTGGTCAACTTCTTCCAATCAGATACCGGAAAATAACGAGGTTCTCCAACACCATGGGCAAAATGGCAGTAAATTAGTGGCTTATGGATAAATATGTGCTCATCAACACCCTGGTGGTAACAGTGCAGAGACACAAACAAGCATTCAGCCAGCACATTAACCCTTTAACTATACCGATCCTCCTAATTTTGCTCTAACAAACCCCCAAATCAAAAACAAATAGTCAGCAGACAATCAGGAAGGACACCTTGGGAGTTTGATTTTTTTTTAAAGTCTAGTGGCTTTTCCAAGTGTTGCTTGCTGCTGTGATACAATGCAAAAGTTCTGACTTATAGCCAGATTCCATGCATGTTTTCTCAGAAATATCCCACTGAGCTCAGCTGAACTTGCATCCAGGAGAATGCACAAAGAATTGCAGTCTGAGCTGCCATTCTCTATTCCTGAGTGAGAGCTGCATGCTCTGGGCAGCTGGCCCAAAAACTTCCAATCCAGAGGGCAAACGCTGACGAAACCAGGCCAGAGGACACAGAAGCTGAAGCTTTTTGTGTGGGGGTGAAATATGAATCCAGCTTTGGATGGGCCTCAAAGAAAATATCAGTGCCAGTTGTTTAGATGCGTCTATGTTTAAAAACCCTCCCAACAGACTGAAGCAGCTGATGGGGAAAAAAGAGGCTTATTGAATAGCACGTGCATCTGGCCAGTGGTCACGGAGGACACAGAGGCATAACGTAACGTGGGCATCGCTGCTGAAAACCATTATGCTGCGGTCCTCTGGACAGCCACTGGATGAAAGAACAGCTGGGAGCGTTCCTTTTAATGGATGGAGTGTGGCAACCGGAGTAGCACCTGTGATGGAAGATCAAAGGAACGCAGACAAATTGCTGTAGCAGATCCAGGAAGCTCAGTAGGAAGATCGAGGGGCTGGGGATCATGTGTACATGCAGGATGGGTGCGGCAGTAGCAGCATGGCCACTGGAATGAAACTGCTGGTTCACATCTACCGCTAGATCCAGTTTTAGAGACCGAGGTAAAGGTACAGGTTTCCCCTTAATGTGAAGTCCAGTCATGCCTGACTCCAGGGGGCGGTGCTCATCTCTGTTTCCTGGCCGAGGGAGCCAGCGTTTGCCTGCAGACGGTCTCTGTGGTCATGTGGCCGGCATGACTAAACACCAAAGTGCACGGAACGCTGTTACCTGCCCACCGAAGTGGTACCTTTTCATCTACTTGCATTTGCATGCTTCCGAGACTGAGAGGGTGCTTTTAATTAGGATTCTCAAACTGAAATTATGATGGGCTGGCCACTTGCACAATGCCAAACACACACACACACACACACACACACACACACACACACACAAACAAAAAACAAAACCTCACTAAAAATAGAGAATCTGGTTTTGCATAAAATTTGTATGGGCTGATTTAGATAGATGCAAATTTAGTAATTACTACAGTTAGATTTAGGATCCAGTCTTACGTGTGTGTAGACAGGAAACAGCCACTGCTGGTGCCAACTTGGCCTCAGTCCATGTCGCCACCTATCCATCACTCGGCTGCACTGATGTGCACCATGAACATCAATGTCTCTGGCAGCCCAAGATACTGTTCTCATGCAAAGGACTTATAGAGCACACGCACGTAAAATCCCATTGGATTCAGTGGGTCTTGTTAGTTATGACTAACTTTGCACCCCGAGTTTAATGCACCCTGAGTGACTCTCTTGCTCTGGGTCCACCAGGATCCATAGGATGCTGTAGCGTTTTTTGTAACTCAGAACACTTGACATGAATAAGAGGTAAATAGTAGCATTTACCTTTCCAGACCATGGACCTCATCATCTTCCAGACATGAATTATGTGTAAGTATATGTGCATGTTCACGTGTGTGTTGGTACTACTAATGGTAAAACCCAAGTTAGGTCAGATCACAACCCAGTTCTCTATTAGCCACATATTGGATTTTCCATGAGTGCACTTCCACATGTCACAAATATCTCACCCCATCCTAATGTCCACCCCATCAGAAGAATATTCAGAGGGCAAGTGCTGATGATAAAGTCACTGAGTCACCACGAAAACATTTTTGAACACCCTCTTATTGAAGGTGATGCTGACCCAGGTGTGCATTTGTGGTGTTTTCCATTTTCCTCACTCAAAGGAGGAACTTCCTCAGAGAACTGTCTCGTTTGAATCCATCAGAGTCCTCTGGCGTGCTTCTTTCTCATGAGGGTCAAAGTAAATGCTATTTGTCATATGTAGCATATACCTACATCTCTACTTTTTTCCACAACGGGAGATATTATGATCCAAACTGCTGCAGGGGTGTGTGGAGCTTTAGGGGGAGTCCCAGCTAGAATCATTTCCCCTCCTCCCCCAGATGGGATCACACACTTATTTTTGAATAACAAATGTACAGATATGGCATGCAGTAAAAGTAACATGAAGTTTGTTTTTCATTAATGCTGATTCTGGAGATGAAAATTTTTATTTTCTCATTTATTTACTATGGGAGGTTTCTATACCTCCCAATAACCAACGTTCTCTGGATGGTTTGCAACGATTAAGACCCTAAAATACAGCACAATAAAGCTCAACATAAAACTTTTAAAGTACACCTCAGAAAATAATGTTTTATGGTTAAAGTCACACACGAGACGTACCTCAAAGTACCTTTTTGCAGTATCGATAAGCACTTTGTTAAAATGTTCAATATCCTTTTCCTCCATAAGTTTATCTGAGTAGACCCTGGATGATTCATGCAACCATAAATGAGCCAAGTCAATAGGGAGCCGCACACATTCGGGGGTTGCAAAAAGCATTCCCTGCAAAACAGTGAAGTGTTTATTTTCTCATTATCTTTCTTGGACACTAGACTATCCATTTCTATTAACTAAAATATGCCATTCAATTAACTGTACTCTGGTGGCACCAGCAAATGTGTGAATTTGTTAGTTGAAATATGTTCATACATTTGATAAGCAATTAATGGCTTGCAGCTAAAAAGCAACACATTACTTATAATGAGGTACTGCGGCTGCCTCAGGAACATCGATTCCTTTTCCTCCCACACTTATTATCTCCAATTTTTATTTCTGTGAAAATGATCCTCTTTTTCCATGTGTCTCAACAGCTTTGCCTTATTTACAGTGGGCAGCGTCCACCCTATTCTGGCAGATTGTCACACGAGTTTGAGGTCTCATCTTCTTCCTCTGCTTTTTTCTTCCATACTTCATGTAACACTTCACAGAGAATGGGATGGACAGCATATACCACTTCAGGCTGTAGGTGGGAAACAGCCCCCATATGGTGAAGGACTACTTCATAATATCAAAGGAAATGAAAACAGGCCTCTCCATATGGGAAACCAACTCATCGGCAAGACAGGGTTAGTGTCTCCCTCTCTCTCATGCACTTACTTTCTTCCTGCATGGAGAATTGGCCAGGGGGATATATTAAATATGTGATATACACACACACCTGAAAGCTGGGTTTGGAGGCTGTTTGAAAATTTGCGTTGCTATCACCTAGCCATCTTTGAAAATTAGCACCTCTGGATTTTACCAGTTTAGGCTTGGCTTGGGGTGGGGGTCCCGTTTATAATGCTTCTCCATGATGCACCCTCCCTGGTGTTGAATGAAGAAGCCAAGTGCATCCGGCAGATCACTAGAAGAAGCCCGTCTTTCTGAGGGACTGCTTTTCTGCATGCCAAGGCCACCTCTTTCTGTGAAATGCTGGCTTCCTTTCCTAGGCCAGCAGAAGGAAGAGCCAGAGCAAAACAAGGGTGGGAACGTCTCACCTGCTCTCAATCCTGCGCCTCCCCACACCCATTCATCTACATCCACGTCCACACACATATTCCCTCACACCCATTCATGACACAGCCGCTTATTTAAAAGGGCTAACTGCTGTATATGAAGGTGCAGTCAGGCAGAGCACACCGCTGGGGAGGGAAGAACTAATCTTCCCATGCATGGAGATCTCCCCTGCACGAAAAAATGCCCATGAGGCCTAAATTATATTTTTAAGGGCGCAATCCTAGGCATGCTTAGGCAGAAAAACCCCAAAAGCACCTTCATGGCATAGCTCTTTAGCCACTGCAAGGTGCAACCACAATATGAGGCAGATGAGCTAGAGATTATGTTCCTTTGGGTGAGGACAGATGGAAAGACTACTGTGGCTGGTGGCACTAGAAAGAGTGAAACTCTCTTGCTCACATTCCCCATAGCAAATAGCAGTGTGTTTGCCCCTCCACACCTGCTTCCCTTTAACCTTCCAAAACCACCATGGCAGTAGTGATGAGGGGGGAAATGTGGCCAGCCAGCTTTGGCTGAGCCAGCCTTCTGCAACCTGGAGCACTCTAGATGTGTTGATTACAACCCCCATCATCCCCAGACATCAAGGTAATGGTGGTTTTTAGTCCGGCCCATCTGGAGGCTTCTGGACCGGGGAAAGCTGGGCTAAGCCAGTGCAAGCTGACTATGCTGCCTTGGCAAGAGGAGGAAATGTGGCAGCAGTCGCCTGAAGCTGGGATTCAGCGCATATTCTGTGCAAATATGGATCCTACCCTGACCCTGCCTGCCCTGCACAGGCCACCCCTTTTGTATGACAGATAAGAAAAAGCAGATGGGTAAAGTGTATTACCTGGAACATGCGTGTTAAATCTCTTAAGTTGAAAATATAATGAAACCGAATAGCTGTAGGTAGAAAATTCTGGCTCATCTTTTGGTGCAGAGAAATTGCAGCTTGTATAAGTGTGTCGGCTGACTTCACTACACTATAAGAGAAGTCCCCTTGTTGGAAATGTATAGTTATTATCTTGCCATAGATACTGGCTAAGGCATCCATTCCCGGGAAGTGGACAGCGAACACAGAAAAATGTCTCTGGAAGAAAAGCACAGCATGTGGAGAGGTATACTTGAGAAGACTAAAAATATCTCATGCGTTTATATATTTGAAACAGGAAAGCTGAGCTTTGGGCTGAAAAGTCTTAGGTGGCGTTGCTAGTGTATGTAGTGTAGCTCAGGCCATCTTCAGGCAGGAAAATGTGCATGAGGCACACCCTGCTGTCACTGGAACAGCTCCGCAGCCTCCAGATCTGGATTTCACAAAACATCTGCCATCAGTATTCCCTGCTAAACTGTACTGGGCTTACCTGCTCTCCTCAAGCTCAGCTGTGGAATGTGGCCTTGCCTACACGCCTCAGACCTTTTATCAGCAGCCTGAATCAGGTCCCTCACCAGCCAAAGCTCCACCCCAAGTTTTGCTTTGCTTTGTTTTTTTTAAAGCATTAAAGCAGCGGAAAAGGGGAGGGGGGAGCACAAAATAGCAGGCCGAGTCAGGTAACCTAGCAGCATAAACACAGAGCGGGAGACTGCAAGTGCAAACAAAAGCTGAGGCAGATGAAAGAAACCTTCAAAGAAGTCACAAACTCAGCTCAAAAACACCCCCTCTTTACAACTCGAAGCAGTCCCATGCACACTGCCTCCATTTGCTCTCTCGCTTCCAGGAAACAGAGAGCCCTGCTTCTGAGCTCACCTGTTCTGATCACCTGGCTATGGAACTGTGCTCTTAGATTTTGTTCCTTTTAACTTGGCTTTTGCTTCCTAATGAAGTAGTTCACCTGACAGATTCGATGAAGTCACCCACTCAAAGGACACCTTTAAGGTGCAATCCTATGCATGTTCAAACAGAAAAGGGCAGGCTGAGAATTGCAGGCATAGATACAATCATGTCTTTTGTAGGTTCTGAGGTTATGGACTGAGTGTCGTGTGTGCAAGGAGGATGCAGACATGCGGCAGCATGGCTGGCAGGCTTGAACATGTTCTTTCGCACCACATAATTTATAGTCTTGTCTCTTTTTTCTTTCTTATGCAAGGAATTAGAGAAATATTCTCCCTTGGGATATTCTACACACACACACACACACAACCTCCCAAGTTGTAAATGCCAGGGTGCAGAAGAAAGTTAATGAAATTCTCTTTGCTGAAATTAAGATAGCTTTAATATTATTCACAGGAAGAAAAGCTTGTTCACATCTGACACTTGCAGCAACCTACCTGAAGACGCTGATTTACTGAAAAACTTCCAGCGGTGGGATTCATGCACGTGACATACTGACAATGGTGAATTTCTTTCAAAATCAGTTTCTGTCTGTCATACCTATGTAGTTACAAAATAACAAAGGGATAATAAAACTCAATTGTATATTCACAGTTTGAGATCCCTGTTGACAGATCTTCACAGCGAAGGCTGCTGTAAGAAAGTCTGATTATGTAGCCCTCCGTTAAAAGATCTGAAAATCTTTCTTTTGTCCTGGCTCTCTTACACAAAATTTCTATAATTCTCAGTCTCTTAAGCAGCTTGAAGACTGACAGAACCTCAATTTGGCCTCCTCTCATCAAGTTATGACAGTAGTGTTCAAGCATCTACAGTGTAAGAAGAGAATTTCCATGGTTGGGTTTCTTGAACAAGGCCATTGAAGGATGTATCCAATTTTGACAAGTGCTGCAAGTGGGGATCTGCACACAGAAGCAATAATCTGCAGCACACATCGAAGTAAAATGATTCAGGGTGACCACGAAGCCCTTTAGGCTGTCAAAAGGAGCCAGCAGGACAGGGGATAGATCCTTTTCTGCCTGAGATCCCAGAGAATCATGGCCAGTCAGAGTTGATCACACTGAACTGCACACAGAATCTGGTATAAGCTTCCTCTTTCTCACCTGGTTGCTTCTAGGGAGAACACAATGATCCAGGGCAGGGGTGAATGAAAGCTGCCCCATTGCTCCCCCAGTTGGAAAAAACAGGGTTAAAAAAGAGCCACCTCTACTGACCACATATAGAGCAAAAGCTAGTTTGTGCACAAGCTAATTTTGACCATTTTAATACTCTCCAGTGTCTACAGATGCCTTTAAATGAAATAACAATTTTATTGTTATGTTAGGCTACCTTAGTGGAAGTATAGATCACAAGAGGAATCAGCCCTATTCGTGCAGGGTGGGGGACTGTGCATGCGTGTAGGTGCAATATTTTGTGCTTTTAATATATTGCTTTTTATTGCTGCTTTTTACCCCGTAAGCTGCTTCAAGAAACCTGCAGGGCTGGTAAGATGGAGTGCGGACTTTAAAAAGAAATGTTTCCCATCAGCTGTTTCCATAACAGCGGTACATTTTCCAGCAACTGCAACCACAGGAATTGCTCGTGGTTAGCTACATCTGCATCTGCGGAGGGCCTGGGGTCACACACGTGATCCTTGTTCGGAGGATAGTTCGGTTTCATGGTGCAAAAGGCCGCTTCAACGGTTTAAACCAGCCCCATGTGTCAATACAAAATGCGTGCTCCTGATTCCTGCTCTAACCCTGGCAGGCGTAATTGAGCTAGTGTTTTTCCCGGCTCTCCGCCTGGCGATCACTGACACAGCCACTTCGTCTTGTGCATGCCGTGGCTTCAACTTCAGAGAGGGTGACCTTTTCCTTTGAGTTAAATAGAACATACCAGCAAAGCTGCTCTCTCCTTGCACAGTAGCTCCTTCCTACCTTGTGGAGTAAAACAAAAGGCGGTATATTTTTAGTTCTCTGGTGCTCACTTCTAGCCATATTTGTTTAACATGAGAGCAGGGCATGGAGGGCAGCACACCTATCCTTCCCACAGCAAGATCTTGTGGAGGATACGGCTCTCCGTGGTGACTAGTCAAAGCGACCATATATTATCTTCAAAGGCAGTGTGCATTTTGTTCATTGATACTTATATGCTACTTAATAGAATGCACAGCCTAAGCATGTTATATACTGAAGTATTAATAGCACGGGTGAAAACACAATTTCAGTACAATAATAAAAGCATCACAGCAACAATTAAACAGGGCAGCATCACCATCAATTATGGAGCAGACCAAGCCTGCTTAACGAAGTGCATTTTTAGGAGGCATTTAAAACATAACGATTGTTTGTTCCCACCCACCCCCAAACCCTACGGGGAAAGGTGGCCCAGAGGCTCAGTGCCAGTTGCTGAGGAATACAAGGGGGAAGGTGCTTTTGCACTCACGCCCTGCCATTGGTGCCCCCAAGGCACCTGTTTAGCTGTTGGGCAAACAGAATGGTAGACTCGATCAGCCTTTTGTATGATCCAGACAGCTTCCTCCAGACTTCCTCTGTTATGGTGTCTCCATATCTGCTCTGTGCAAATGAGATCTTACTGCACCAGCACAACAGAAATATACCTGCAGGTCTACCTTACAAAGGATAAACTTTCAAAAACTGCTACCTCCCATGTAATTTGCCTGTCCATAGGAAACCCCTGTTCTGAACACCCACAGGCTGAAGCATGTTCAAGAGCAAGGAAACAAGAGACAGAAGCATTGGCTTGTAGTGCCCAGAATTCGGCATGCCCCCTTGAGGGAGGTCTGTCTGGTTGTATTGCTACTTCCTTTTGGTCACCTGCTAACCTTTTATAACCTTCTGGAATTATAACATTCTTCTTCAATTCAAGGTGCAGGTTATTACGTATAAAGCCCTAAACGGCTTGGGACCAGGATACCTAAAGGAACACCTTTTTCCCTATATGCCCTCCCGTCCCCTAAGATTGGCAGCAGAGGCCCTCCTCCGGGAACCCTCTTTGAAAGAGGTCAGGAGACAGAGTACCTGGAGGAGGGCCCTTTCTGTGGTGGCGCCCTGGCTATGGAATGCACTCCCTAGAGAGGTCCGCCTGGTGCAGTCATTATATGTTTTTCGGCAGCAGGTCAAGACCTTTTTATTTGGCCAGTATTTTAACACATAGTAATTTTAATTGTGTAATGTCTTATTTAATTTATTTTAAATAATGCTCAGTGTGGAATAGTTAACTTATTTTATTGAAGTCTGAAATAATGTTGTAAGCTGTCCAGATGGATGGCTACAAATTTTCTTAAATAAGTAAATCAATAACATTCTGTACAAAATATAAATACATGGCAAATACATCCATTTGGGATGGGACATAGCAGGTGTCCATGTGCCCAAACTACCTATTACTTTAAAGGTGTAACTAGCAACTACATCTTTCTTTCTTACTTACTTAAATTAAGAGCAGGAGCCAAATTTAGACTGGAATCCAACTGTGGGGAAAGAGGGTTTTAAGGTGAAACTGGACAGTCATCTGAGTGGGGTGGCATGACTTGGCGTCCTGCACCAGCAAGGGGTTGGACCCATGGGTCTACTTGGCCCCTTTCAACCCTACAGTTCTATGAATCTATTAATTCCCAGCCACCAGTATGGTCCCAATACAGACTGGGCTGTGTTTATAATCTGCACTGCCAGAAAGTGATCCTTTAACACAAATTTATCCCTTTGCCATGCAAACCACAGGTGCCAGTCCCCTAGTTGATCACAACCTGCACATGTGGATACTCAGCAGGCAAACACTATCTTAGGCTACCTTAGTGGAAGCAAAGATCACAAGAGGAATCAGTCCCATTCAGGCTTCATCTCGAAGACTGAGGGAGGCACAGAGCTCCTCCTGCTTTACGGGAACTGACTGCATTAAAGGAGGTGCAGAGCTACAAAGTCCCTTCCAACCTCTATATATGATTATTTTTATATTATTGCTAAAGATGTTGCTTTATTGTTTTACTAGATTTTTGCGGAGTGGATACTTAGCTGTCTTGAATAGTTATGATAGGTGAGGGAAAATTCCATTCATTATGTATATACAAAGATTCAGTTCGGGTATGGTGCAGGGAATTCAGGATCCCAATATAGTAAACACAACTCCTTGCCTTCTATTTTAGAAGACATTCCACAGCAGACCTTGAGTTTAAGAGAATTGTACAAAATGTTCATAAATCCAACACACCTGCCGATCCAGTAATTAAGGTGCAACATACAACAGAAGGCAGACTTGGGATAATCATGTAAGAGAACAATAACTGTCAGCAACAACATCTGACACCAAAGGTCTTACCTTTTTGGTGCCCAGTTAAGACTTTCCTCTACTCCAGGCAGGTACTGTATCTTACTGAAACTGATTCACATTTTGAATGTCAGTCATTTTATATCAAATAGCTATTTGTGGATTGCAATTCTTGTGAATCATAGGGAGATATTTGATTGTTGGGCAGTACAGAAATTAAATGAAGGAAATAAAATAAAATATTTTTATGAAGATAAGAAGACCCACATGGGATCACAGGAAGGTCTATCCCGTCCAGCATGCTGTTCGCACAGTCACCAACCAGCCATTGACAGAAGACCCACAAGCAGGACAATAAGTGCACCAGTACCCCCCTGCCCATGTTCCCCAGCAACTGGTCTTTCCTAAGCATACTGCCCCCGAGGTAGGAAATAGCCATCAGGTGTGATAGCCATTTACAGCCTTCTCCCCCATAAATTTGTTCAATCTCCTTTTAAGGCCAGATCAGTGTCCGTCTTCTGGGAGTGAATGCCAGAGTTTAACTATGCACTTGTGAAGAGGTACTTCATTTTATCCATCCTTTCCTTTTATTTCTCCTTCTGTTCTTTCATCGATAGTAACTGCCTATATACAAGACACCTAAAAGTGCACATGCCAACCTAGCACTAGGTTAAAAAAAATAGGAGCTCATAATCCTAAACGCTATTTTCTTGATCATCAGCTCATGTTCACAGTTACATTAGCAATGTTATTTTGGTACTCCAATCCAAGTTCAAATCTGTGCTCAGAATTGCTTGAAATTTGAACTTAGATTAAATCACTAAATTAACAAGCAGGGGCTGTTTCAAAATATGCATGAATAACTTTAACTGATGAACTTCAAGTGAAAAGTTTACCAGTGGCTATAGTCCAGGTGCTGTCTAATTAGAGCATGAGGCTGGACAGTGCCGCAGGCATCGACCTCGGGCATATTAAGATCATCAATGAAGTAAATTAATTTTTTCATGCCCGGAGGAGCATAATTTCTGCCAGCTTTCTTTTCCAAGGATCTTTCAAGAACACCTGCCAAGAGGATAGAAGATGCATGAGAACTATCACTGAGGTTTCAGCTGTAAGAAAAGGCATGTGTGTCAAATAAAGAGGACCATTATCATCACATCGAGGTTATTTAATTATGCTTCACGTGATTAAGTGAAGTCTCTGTGGGCACAATCCTATGCATGTTTAGACAGAAAAAAGTCCTTCCAGCATTCCCCAGCCAGCATAAGCTTGGGCTCTAAGAGACTAAAAGTCCTTTAGGATGCAATCCTACCACTGCTAGATGCTTTCTAGATGGACATAGGATAGGTAGTCGTCTCAGCTTTGATGCTGGAAATGTGCTCCAAGGTCAAAGCTGGGGCTGTTGCTGAGGAGCGCCCTTCCTCCACCTTCACAGCTGGCAGGTTTTTCATGCTGGATGAGGCTGCAAAGACACGAGTGCAACGTCAGAGCCAGCAGGCCGCACTGGGGTCTGAGGAATCCTGGCCAGGCCTGAGCCCCTCTTCCCTGTGGCAGCTCTCTCAGTCGTGGCAGGGCAAAGAATCCTTGCCTTTGTGGTCCTCCTACGGCTGACAGGTTGCCTGTAGTCCCCCGGGTTCTGTGGGCACGGATTGCCACGCTGGAAGGCACCCTTACGAAATGCACTCCAAGCTGGCAACCGGCACGTGACAGGCCGACAGATTTTGAGAACGATCCCTTGCATAACAGTTACGATGTCAGTGGTATGGACATAGTGAAACTTAATGCTTTCTTTCCAATTCGGTTGGCAGATTTATCGGACAGCCTGGCTTGTCAACCTGCTGTGGCTTTCAAATGACCTCTAGTCTCTAAAGCAGGAGTTCGCAGTTTGTGGCCCTCCACAGCTCCTGTCCTCCCATGGCCATCATACCTTACAATTGGCTATGGTGGTTGGAGCTGATGGGCATTGTAAGCCAAAACACCTGGAGGTTCAGCCCTGCTTTAAGGCAAGAGCTCCTGCAAAGGCTGTGCTTGCACCTGCTTCTGAGGTGAAGGGATGGTGTGATGGTTCTGGCATCCTGACTGCAGAACACACTGCCCCAGGTGGCTCCTTTGGCACCAGCTTTGGTATAATTTCAGCCCCAGGGGAAGACTGAAATCGTGCTTTTGTCTCTGGTCAGGTGTTCTTGTTTCTTTTATTAAAGCTGTCTTTCACCACCAGTGCATTGACCTGCCATTTGAATACCATCTTTTGTTTTATTATTGTCTCAACTCAAAGGCTTATCAGCATCCAGAGCAAGATGGCAGGAGCACGGTGTGGCTGTAGCAATCCCTGCCACCATTGCAGCTCATGTAGGGATGCGGAAATCAGGCCAGGATCTGCGAGGGGGTGGGGTAGTGGCTTGGTCTGAGCCTTGGGTCAGAGGATCCAGTTGCTCAGACACCAGAATCTACGCTGCCTCACAGGGTTGTTGTGAGGATAAAATGGACGGAGGAAGACTATGTAAGCCACCTTGGGATTCTTACAAGAGGCATAAATGTGGTGCATAAATCTAGTGTAACAGTATTAATATTGTTAGAATTTCACATTACCAACTATACAGGCTTGGATCCAGACCTGGTCTTCTTTACATTGAACCCATGGAAATCAGTGAGACAATTTAGTCATAAATACCTCAAGCCCCGTTTACTTCTGTGAGTTATTCTTAGCATGACAAGTCTGGATGCAACCAGTAATGTACATATAAACAGGTTCAGTACTGCTATTTTATTCAAACCCACAACAGATCATGTCGTTGCACAGTGTTCCACTAAATCCTGAAACTGTAGGTGCCAAATTGTAAACCATGATTAATTCCTCCGCTCATTTTGGTTTTGGATGCTTATTTTCTTTTGCTGACAAACTGTGGTGCAATCTTGTATCTTTTTCACAGATTTGTTGCAATTCAGAATGGCTTTTAAATATTGGAAATTGTACTGGTATAAATAGACAACTAGCGGAATTGGTGCAACTGGGAAGTACATACGCTGAAGCGTAGCAGATGTTGTATAGTAATTGAAGGGAACTTTGGCCACCATATACTTTTCTGATAGCTTGGTAAGCTTGTCACATATGAGGACTGTTTTTCCAACTCCAGCATTTCCCACCAGCATAATTGGCTGACCCTTCTCCAAAAGCAAATCCACCAAATACCGCAAGCGAATGGTTTCTGATGTATGAATCAAAACCGTCTGTTCCTGCAGACAAGGCACAGAGAAATATGCATTTTGGAGAGAAGGAAAAAGATATATGTTATGCGGTTAAGAGTGTTCTTTCACCATGTAAATCAATGTAATTTTTTTCATACTTCAATTTAGGTGACAGAAAAGTGAATTTATACATTAAGATTAAACAAGTGGAAATATATAACGGTTACTGAGACTTGATACTTGTCATAATCTTAATTTTGTAATAACAATGAATGATTTTTGACACCGCAAAGATCAGAAGCTAAATAGCTGTTTTAGCAAGATTACATTATATAGCATTTGTAACTCAATGTGGTGGAATACTGCATTTTGCTGTCACTTAAAATACAGTGAAATGTAATATGAGAATTATTGCAATGTCTATATTCACATTTTCAAATATAAATGACATGCTATAAACATAAGTCATAGTGCTACCATATGATTATGCTGAAATAATATAACATGGACATAAATGAAGAGAAATGATGTAAAATTGCCTTTGCCAATAAGTTGGACTGAAAATTCTATCCAAGGGGATCAGAATTAAAATTGGGAAACTGAGTAAATATAGCAGCGATACTTTTATCCACAGAAACAGCCCAATTTCTTTTGAAAATGAAATTGCAGATATACTTTAATATTTATCACCCCAGGCAGTTCATTCACACTGCAGAAAATAGGCATATCAATGGCAGAAGTGAAGTATGAAGTCAGCCCGTACAGGAGATAATACCAGAATCTGGTGAGATGGTGCGGGGAGAGCGGGGAGATAGCTCTCTCTACAATGTACCAAATGAAAAATAAAGTACAGGTCCATAATAGAGTGTCATTTTTACGAGTCCACAAAGAACCCAAGGAGGCAGATAGGAAAATGTGCATTCTCAAAGTGAAATATGCCACTTGCATAAGAAATCAATCCCAAAGCCTCAAGTGCCTTTCCGCTTTCTCTAGGTGCATGTGTGAATACGCTTCTGCTGGTGCTGTAAGGGGAAGCATGCACTAAACCAAGGGAAGCCTCATAATCAAACAAGGGCTATAATTAATAGTGATTCTGGGCGCAGTTTCCACTTTAGTGATTAATTGATACTGTGTAGTCTTGGGTAAGTTAATTAACTTATCTGTGCTTAGTTTAGCCAACTGGAAAATGGACATATTATTACTTAATTGTGTTGCAGGAATGTAGTTTAGAATTTGATTAAGGTTAAGGCTTTGCAACACTCAGTCACTAGTCTCACTTAAGGGCAAACTATTTTATTGTGACAGGGGCATAGCCTTTGGATATAGTTGTTGTAATGGTTACCATGAAATAAAAGGTGGACATTTTATATCATCTTTTTCGCTTGACTGGAATGTCAATTTCTCTGAGGAGGAGGTTTCCACTACATGAGAAGGTGAATAAAAGTCTGCCCCTTAGTTCTGCTGAGGTTGGATCAGGCACCAAACACAAGGTCTCAGCTCCTGCCTGCAGCCACCACCAGAAGCTGGTTCTGCTCCCTGAACCAAACAAGCAGTAGCGGCAGCCAGTACTTTATTTCTAAACTTTACATAAGAAGTTTCTGGAATGTGTTTTCACTTGTGCATTGCTCACTTCGTGTAGGATGCTGCTATAACCTACATTTCAAGATAAGCCTGGGGTGGGGTGGGGGAATAAATTATGCATCTTGCCTTTCCATGCAAACGTACCTAATTTTGTACTTTTGAATTATTGTAGAAACTGAAACTCAAGTTTTCCTTTGAAATTTGTGTTTCTCTTATACTGGGGGAACTGCACACAAACATTTGTACTCTCATGAAAACAATGTTCAAAGAGGCATTATATTAGAGAAATTGCTTGCAAAACTGGGTACCCAATGCATGTATTATTAGAAATGAATACAAAAATCTTGATGAATATTCATACAAACTTTTTTCAAAACACCTAAAATCTAAATGTTCAGAATAAACTATTGGAAAAATTGGGAACTGAGAGAAACTGAAATCTATATAAGAGAAGTCCTATGCCCACCCCAGACAGTGTTTAGGTGGCCATAGGATAATTTTGATTCCCAAATCTGAGATCAGAGATGGAGCTCCAACCTTTGCACTACAGATCCCCTTCCTTGGTCTTCCAGGGAAGCATGCTAGTTTTCTCTCCAAAGTTAGAAAAACAACTTCGGAAAGGGAGTAAAGTGGCTGGAGAAAGGAAGAAGGGGAGATACTGGTCCTTCCCTGGTACTAGGTAGCCTTCCACCTCATCCCCTCCCCCTCCAAAGCTCCTTGGCTGGGTGGCTGGAAAAGGCTGTCTAGCTGAAAAGCAGAGCAGGAGGCGTGGGGAGCCAGAGCTCACGTGACGCCACTACTTCATGCTGAATGCTAGTCCATCTCCAAGTTGGAGGGCTTGCAAGCATGAGGGCACAATCTGTAGGACTGAACCCTGAATGCACTGTAATATTTATAACAGGAAGTAGGGAAGTAACAGGACTGCTGTTTAAGCCTGCACCAGGAAGGAGTTCAGAATTATTCACTGATGCCAAACACACACACACACACATATATATTCTTAGGATTAGAAAAAAATGATTGCACTCTTCTGCATTTCCTTCCAATGAAAGGAAAAACACAATCACCTTCAGGTTATAGAATGGGTCAAAATTTACCCTTTTCAGTTAGTTTTGGAAATATGTTGTTATGAACTTTTCTATAATGTTACATATGATTGAAAAGCACAGAGATAGGATATAGCTGTATATATGGATCTTTCTTTAGGATTGCTGGGAGAAATACCAAAAACCTCAGATATGCAGATGATACCACTCTAATGGCAGAAAGTGAAGAGTAACTAAAGAGTGGGTGAAAGAGGAAAGCGCAAAAGTTGGCTTGAAACTCAACATTAAGAAAACTAAGATCATGGCATCCGGTCTTGTCACTTCCTGGCAAAGAGATGGGGAGCAAATGGAGGTAGTGACAGATTTTATTTTCCTGGGTTCCAAGATCACCACAGATGTGGACTGCAGCCAAGAAATTAAAAGACGCTTGCTCCTTGGGAAGAAAGCTATGGCAAATCTAGACAGTATACTAAAAAGCAGAGGCATCACCCTGCTGACAAAAGTGCAGTCACGTTGTATAGTCAAGGCTATGGTTTTCCCAGTTGCAATGTATGGCCATGAAAATTGGATCATAAGGAAGGCTGAATGCTGAAGAATTGAGGCCTTTGGTGCTGGAGAAGACTCCTGCGAGTCCCTTGGACCACAAGGAGATCAAACTGGTCAGTCCTAGAGGAGATCAACCCTGACTGCTCTTTAGAAGGCCAGATACTGGAGATGAAACTCAAATACTTTGGCCACCTAATGAGAAGGAAGGACTCCCTGGAGAAGAGCCTAATGCTGGGAACAATAGATGGCAAAAGAAGAAGGGGACAGCAGAGGATGAGGTGGCTAGATGGAGTCACTGAAGCAGTTGGAGTGAGCTTAGGTAGACTCCAGGGAATGGCGGAGGACAGGAAGGCCTGGAGGAATGTTGTCCATTGGGTCGTGATGGGTCAGACATGACTTCACAACTAACATAACGTAACATAATCTAACATAAATGGATCTTTCTGGCCTCTATGACAAATCCTTCCCCTTTTCCATTTGATGAATTTTTCAAGCATGGAACGTTGGAAGTCTTACCCTGTAGTATTAGTTGCCCTATAGGTTGCTTTTTTTTTTTTTTTTTTAGCTGCATTAGCCCTTTCTCTTCAATTGTAGACAGATTCAAATTTGTAGAAGGGAACCAAACTTCTAGGACCCCACATTCTGTACCATCTGGACTTGTTAGGTCTTTATTCTAGCATGTCTAGTGTATGAGTTCTTCCTGCACAAGTGCTAACTAGTGGTATGAAGCAGATATCCTGTCTTGGCCAGGATATGTTGACTACTTGGGGGACATGAGTTGGGGACCAAAGACTTCCTAACCTCATCAAATGCCTTTTCTATGCTGATCCATAGTCCTGAGGAAATGCTGCTTTGGAGCTATTTGTTCTTTCAGGATAGACCTTTGCTTCCTAGAATGTTAGAAATGGCCAATCACATTGGTTGTGCCACGATGTCACCGAAGGCAAAGACCTCAGTTTACTCTGCATTAACTTCCCTTCCCTTCCCTTCCCTTCTTTGTTGCAATAAGGACTGCTTTGAAAGAAAAATGTATTAAACAGCAGTCAATAGGGTAATCATTTGCACACCACCATAAAGAGGGAATATGACAATTTGCAAAATATTTGCATCAGCTAATGCATATGTATACATGCAAATTTAAAAATAATTAAAAAGGTAAAGGTTTCCCCTTGACATTAAAGTCCAGTCATGCCTGACTCTAGGGGGCAGTGCTCATCTCCGTTTCCTAGCCAAGGGAGCCAGCGTTTGTCCACTGACAGTCTCCATGGTCATGTGGCCAGCATGACTAAACACTGAGGTGCACGGAATGCTGTTACCTGCCCACCGAAATGGTACCTTTTTATCTCCTTGCATTTGCATGCTTTCGAACTGCAAGGTTGGCAGGAGCTGGGACGGAGCAACAGGAACTCACCCCGTTGTGCAGATTTGAACTGGTGACCTTTTGATCAATCAGCCCAGCAGCACAGCAGTTTTAACCACTGTGCCAAGGAGAACATAAATAAAAATTCAGTACATCTTACCACATAGGGGCTTATATTTCTGCTGTAACTGGACAAGTTCAAGGCCCTTCAATGTTCTCTTTCCTTATGGTTCTTTATCTTTAAACTGAGTTTCAGGGGTGGGCTTTGAACACTAGAGAATTTTACTGGCATAGGAATACCTGACTCTTTGCCATGTCTTGGCCTCCAGTGAAATGCCCTTACACTTGATTATCTTTTCTATTTTCTTCATTGCTGTCCTTCCAAGTCTCAGTCTTCTTTCAGTTTCTTGACTGGGGTCTCCCTTTGAATTGATGACTGAGTGGAGGTATGTAAAATCTTTCACAATCTTTCAATTTCTTCATTGTCAACAGTAGAGTTCTGCAATCCT